GAAATGTATATCAAAAACATCAATCCCGGCATCAAATCTTGCTGAAAACAAGCCCAAGCTGGTCTGGGTCTGAAGACTTTTTAGCTAGATCTTTGAAAAGACTGGAAGACCAGCTAAGACCAGTTTAAACCAGCTAAGACCTTTTCTCACCAAATATTCAGTCAGTACTTTCACAGAATCCAGGGTACATCATTTATCCCCTGCAAAAAACATACAAAGCACAATACAATAATTCTCCTCCAGTGAGAAGTTACAAAAGGAAACAAAAGGCTGAAATCCATCATCTTTGGTTTGCTTGAAAGTCATAAACGATTGAAAGCACGACCGTGTAACACTGTTTTTGGATTCCTGATGTCCTTTCAGTAAGCAGAAATCAAATCTACTCGGGAATAAAGCTTTGAAAAATGACAAAACACATGCAAAAGAATCTACATGAATGCAACGGCGACCACAGTCTTTGGTTTCAGGCTGTTTGCTTCGAAAAGAAAAATTCAAAACTGATTGTGTCTCTCTGATTGAAATACAGCCAGCAATCGATTTCCCCTGATTGAGAAGAATTTCAGCCGCATGGAATGTTAATATCATATAATATAATATCTCTCTCTCGCTGTATATAATTTTCATGTACAATAACATCCATGTTGAACTTGAAACTCCAATGAGGGAAACTGATCGCTGTGGCATTTGATTTAAGGAGGTGAATCTCATAAAGCTGAAGAATCAAGAAAATATCCGGCTAATATTTTACTCCAAAAAATAAAAATAAAAATGATATACTGCAGTGCCATAATCATTTTCATGACAATTAAACAATTAATTTATGATTTACTTTTTAAAAATAGAATATATTTTATACTATGACAGTTAAGCATGATATTATTGTATGACGATTTACATTAAAAAATAGTCTACTTCATATCGTGACAATTATATCAAATAATGACAATTATTTTATATGTCAAATAAGCAATTAATTTATGATTAGCATCAAAATATATATTTTTCATGACAATTAAGCAATGAATTTATGATTTACATTAAAATATTTTTATATGAAATGATGTTCTATTTTAAATCATGACAATTATTTTATAACATGACAAATAAGCTATTAATTTCTGATGTTTACATTAAAGTTATTTTTAATATAATATAATAAAGACATCATGGTAATACGAATTTGGGGTGAAATGTGCTTAACTGTCATGCAAATAACACCACAATGTAAAGAATTGAAATGGTCTTTCTTTTTTTAATTGTCTTTATGCACAATTTAACTTCTTGATTTTTTTTCTGTTGATTTTGGAGTGAAATATGACATGCATTCATGAGATTTGTAATGCTGAACTTCTGCATCTCCACCTCATTTGGTCTCAGGACATCAAGACGTCTCTGAGTTCTTTAAAGCAGCTCTGTTTTTGGGGCGTTCGCCGGTCTCTGGGTGAAACATCTTTGGTTTGATTTACGGATAATCTCATTGTCATCTTATCATCCCAAAGACCAGCGAACCAGAAAGAAGAAACAAAAGAGCAAACAGCTCTGCGGATGATGGCGTGTCACCGTTGCACGTTCAGCTACATAAAAAAAAAACGACAAAACAACTCCAAACTAATCTGAAAGACAAGTGCTACACTCATGATCCTAAATCTAAAATAGCATCCACTATTTCAAAGCACTAAAGTAACTCAAATGCGTACTCAGTAGTACATATACTGTATGTCGAGAAAAATAGATATCTTTGGAGGCAAAAAGCTTTCCTGATCATTCAGATTTGATTATTATTTTTGGTTTTCAGAACATTGACTGCATCTCTCATCTGCAGCTCTTCACACGTTAAGGCCATTGTTTAAAGCTAAGGAACTAATTTTTGGTTACTTCATACTCAAAAGAAGAAATAAACTACGGAAAAAGAAATCCATCTCCAGAACAGAGCTAAAACACACATTCAGCACGGGTCAACCGCCCGGAAAAAACCCTGTTCATCAAACCATGTCACTGTACAAAACACATGGCTTTCAAATCATCCCTGAGACAAAGAAATCAAACACAACTACTGCTAAAAATCAAACGAGGTAGTATAAAACAGGGACTATAAGAGCAAAAATACACACATTCGTACGACAGACCTGAGAAATCTAACGTGACCTGAAGTAGAGTCGCAAATAAATTGTATACGTAAACATCAGAGTAAAACCATCAACTGAAAGTTTAACGTTTATGAACACGAGGTAGGTAAAAAACACCGTCCTAACTATGTGTGATGCAATGAGCCGGGTAGCTCCGCCTACTTTGAACTCCTATTGGTCCAAAGTCCTGCATATTAAACAGCAGCTATGTTCTGATTGGCTGCGATCGCGCCACACAGCAGGACAGGTAAAAAACCTTCGCAATCTCATACTTCAGGATTA